GAAATCTAAACTACAAGTTATCTATTTCCAAAGTACAATGGTGCAACAGGCACAAGGTAGACATTTCCATCACAAATGTGAGAAACTGGAGGGAATGAAGGGATAACAGGCACCAAGAAAGTCCTAAACCCAGTAGAACAATTTACATTAGCTCTCTAGGCTTGAAAATAATCTGTTCTTTGCACCATCTGGGCAATGGCCCCGCCCTCCATACTCTGGCCCTGACCTCTGAATTCCGGGTGGAGGCTCCTCAGCCCTGGGCTTCAGCAACACCTTCCAGGCCCACTAGGACAGCAACTCTGCTCCCTTGGCTTTGGCCAGTCCCGTTCTCCTAGTCCATCTGAGTGGCGGCCCAACCCCGTGGGCCCTGGCAGGCCCTGTTCTTCTGCCCCTTAGGCATGGAAGCCCCAACCCTGCAGGTTTGGGCGGTGTTCCTGTCCCCCTGCCACACCTTAATGGCAACCCCACACTCCGGAACTGAACTGGTAAAGATCCGACTCTTTGAAACCTGGGAGGCTGTGGCCCTACCCTTTGAGATCCAGATCCAGGAGACCGTGGCCCCACCCTTTGAAACTGAAGCCGTGCTTCCCATGCTCACTCCAATAGTTCTGCTGATCTCTGAGCTGCTTCATGGATGGTCCTTTTCTTTTCTTGGAGGATAACAGATATAGCTCCTTTGGCCTGTTTCCTGCCTGTAGAATTCCAAGAGGCAGACAGAGTTCTTTCCTTTGGTTCTTTCTCTGTCCCCTTCAGTCTAAGCTGATAGGTTTTCTGATATAGTAGTTGGTTATATCCATCAGTCACAGGCTTAATCTCTTTAACAAAAGATTGTGTAGCCACATCCTTGGTGAAAATACTAGGACACATGTCCTTAGTTTGTATAACAGAATTTTCCAAATCTTTTAAGTTTTGTTTTCATTTTGCACAGTTCATTTTTAAGTCCATCTCTTTCCTCCTGCATTTTACTAAAGCAGCAAAGAGAAACCACGCAGCCTAAGATCTTGCTTAAAAATCTCATCAGCCAGATATCGAAGTTCATCACTTACAAGTTCTACCTTCCACCAAACATTTGAACATAATTCAGATAAGTTCTTTGCCACTGCATAAAAAGCATCACCCTTTCACCCTCCACTGTCCAATCACATGCTCATCATTGTCTTTTAAAGCCTCACCAGAAGCACACTTAACATCCACATTTCTAGCAAGATTCTATTGATGGAGTCATATGTATTCTCTAAGATGATAGAGACTTTCTCTATAGCTCTCCTTACTTCCCTCTGAGCTCTCACCAGAATTGCCTTTGACATCCATAATTCTACCAACAGTCTCTTCAAGGCAATCCAGGCTTTTATTATTAGCATCTTAAAACTCTTCCAGCCTCCACCCCTTACTTAGTTCCAAAACTACTTCCACACTGTAGGTATTTCTTAGAGCAGCTCCCTCCCTTCTAGATACCAAATTACATCTTAATTATCTAGTGCTGCTATAACAGCAGCTAACCAAAAAGTCAGCAGTTCAAATCCACCAGCCGCTTCTTGGAAACTCTATGGGCAGTTTCACTCTGTCCTATAGGGTCACTATGAGCCAGAATCAACTCAACAGCAACGGGCTTGGGCTGGATAACAGAAATACCACAAGTGGATGACTTTGACGAACAGAAATTTATTTTCTAGTAGTTTAGGAGGCTAGAAGTCTGAATTCAGAGTGCCGGCTCTAAAGGAAGGCTTTCTCTCTGTCAGCTCTGGAAGAAGGTCCTTGTCTCTTCAGCTTCTGCTCACTGGTTCCTTGAAGATCTCCATGTATCTTGGCATCTATCTTCCCCCATATCTGCTTACTTAATCTGCTCCTTTATATCTTGTAAGAGAATGACTCAATACACACCCTACACTAATCCTGTCTCATTAACATAACAAACACAACTCATTCCCAAATAGAATTATAACCACAGGCATAGAGGTTAGAATTTACAACACATATTTTTGAGGGACACAATTCAATCTATAACACTAAATATGCACTAAATTCATTTCATAGGCCACAAATGGGTCACAACTCACAATCTGGAAAACACTGGCTTAGATGAACGCTACACAGATCCTGCCATCAAGGAGTTTATATACTAGTTGGTAGTCTCATATGTACACAGTTCACAGACATCTTAGTATTTATTGGAAAGGCGTCAGAGGTCAATAAGTTCAACCATCTACTCTATAATTCATTCTCTAGCATCTCTGATGAGGGTGATAATACCTGAAAGCCTTTGCTTGATTATCTCAAGGACAAGAAGCTACCTTTTATGTGGAGCCTAGCACAGGGTTGGCCATATAAAGACCTATTAAAACAGTACAGAAACAAATTTAATCAAATATCTAAATACATACTCAATTTCTTTTTCTTTAAAAACAACTCGAACCTTTATTCCTAAACCCATCTTGTTCTTTACAGGACGAGGGTTAAAAGGGGGAAGGTAAATCAGGGGGACAGACGTCTAGAATGCTCCTCTTTGATTATTTAAAAACAAGATCATAGCAAGTTAACTCTGTAATGTTATCCAGCAGAGCCCAACAAACATAACATTATAAGCAGTCTTCAAGATTGAAGGTCTAATAAATGATACTCTACTCACAAAGAGGGCTAGGAGGCTGTAAATTAGGAAGGGCTTCCCTGAGGAGGTCCCAAATGATCTGAGTCTTGAAGAATTGATTGGAATTAGACAGGCAGAAAGAAGGGGGGGAGGGTGTGATCAATGACTCAGAGGAAAAAATGAGCTCAGCACATTTGGGGGTCAGTAATGAAGAGTGAGAAGCCCTGGTGGTGCAGTGGTTAAAGCACTTGGCTGCTAACCAAAAGATCAGTGGTTTGAACCCACAAATCACTCCGCAGGAAAAAGTGTGGCAGTTTGCTTCCGTAAACATGTACAGCCTTGGAAACCCTATGGGGCAGTTCTACTCTGTCCTATAGGGTCGCTATGAGTCTTAATCGACTCGATGGCAGCGTTTGGTTTGGTTTAATGAAGGATTCATGAAGAAATGCAGTGAGAGATAAAGCCAAAAAGGAAGAATGAAGCCATTCTGTGGAGAGCAAGACTAGAATCTGGATTTTATCCAGTAGGTAATGAAGTGTTACTGTAAGTTTCTGAGTGTGTACAGAGTGGTATTTCAGAATTATTAATCTGCATGTGGGCCTGAAACCTGGCTCTAAAAAGATCCAGAGTCCAGACAACCGGTTCCCCAGCTGTGTTTTAATACAGAGAAAAATGTGTGTGCACATGGAGTCCATAAATTCAGAATTCTAATAAGAACAGTCTTGCTTATACAAAAAGTAAAGAAGCTGGGATATACATATTGAGTGTAGACAGCAAACAGAGGCTAGTTTCTTTTTCCTTTCACCTTTTACTTTTGTTAATGAAGGGTGAGTCTTGTCAGTAGCTTCCACTAAAGTGATTGTTCCTTTTATGAAAACTATAGACTTCATTCATAGGCTTGGCCTCAATGCTGCTATGGGCCTAATAAATTATTATAAACCATTTTTCAAAAATTAAATTTTGTATAAATGATACCAACATGCTTTTAATAAGAAGGTCGTCTAAAGTTAAGATACAAACAGGGATCTCTGAAGGTGTTATCTATCTAGTAATTCAGGCTCTGCTGGATAGTGATGGTGCCCTATGAACCTCAGCTAGAACTCAGTTCTGTCTCAGGTGAATAAAAACATCGTACATGAGTCACCTTGCAATTACAGCCGCCACCTGCAAGCATATTTACAAGATGAGAACTACAAAGCTCAATCTCTGTTTAAGATCCTGCCTTGGACTTCCTCTTCCTTCTTCCAGTCTGAGGATCAAGACAGCTCAGGATTCTTTACTAATCTTTCATAAGCATCATTTTTTTAAATTATATTTCTAAATTTAAAAAGACCTGCCTCCAAAGCCCTCAAAGTTACTTTGCTTTACTGATCCTGTATATTAATTAGACCCATGTCTTTTTTCACAGGGAAACTAGAGAAAGATTTTTTAAGTTTCTGAGAACACCTGGTACATATCAGGTGTATATGCTATGTATGCATAACATACCTGTGAATAATTAACAGTCACAAACATTGCTTGGGGTAATGTAGACCATTCATGGCTTAGCCCAGTTCTTTGCTGTGTTTCTACATCCACACGGATGGGTATGTCACAGTGGCATGGAAGCCTCACATTTTATGTAAAAATTTCACGCCTGGATCTGAAATGGAGCCTGACTCCTTAGGACACACGTTTTAGGGGCAACTTTTTCATCTATAGGCCTGCTCCCTAAATTGGGCAGTGACTCCAGAGGCAGTTGGAAGGGAGAAGGAGGTGCTGGGCAAGTGCTACTAAAAAAAGAGTAAAGTCCATCAGCAAAGTCCCTCCCCTCTACCCACAGCCTTTTTGTGACTTCTCCCCATCAGATATGCCCTTTATAGACTATTTCATCTTCCCAGGGTGGAGCCCAGGGAGAATCTGCTCACCATCTCAAAACTCATGGCATGGCCCCGGTACAGCAACTATGTGTGGCACTTGGTTGTGGAAATACAAGTTTTTCCACACTAAAGTAAGGAGGCTGTTAATCCTGGTTTTAGTCTGAGTTATCACTGAGTCCATGGGGCCTACCACGGTCCTGGAAGTCGTTGTTACAAAACCTCGCCACCTGCTCGACCTCAGCTTCGGCCAGTGACAGAGAATCTGCGGTCTCCCCGCACCTCTCACATTTCTGGGTCACACTGGTGTACACACGCACACTCACGCACACAAACTCTGCCATCCTGTGCCCGCCGGACCACAGAGGCGGTTACGAACTTACTCCTCACTGCACCAGCCCCGCCACGGCGCCGGGGGCGAGGACTGGGCCCGGGCTCTGGGCTGGGCTCCAGGTCGGGGTCGGGGTCGGCCCCGGGGCGGCTCGCGGGTCTCCCTCCCCTCACACTCGGCCTGCCCCCACCGCACGCACCGGGGGACAGGCCCCCTATAGGTTCCATACCTGCCACCGGAAGTGAGTGAGGAGGGCAGTATAGGCATTTCCTGTGACGCGAGCGCCTGGACTCCATTAGGCAGCAGCTGGGGGAAGAATCAACACACCAGGGAGCAGAGCGGAGCGGACCCGAGGACAGAGGCGGCAGCTGCCTCTGCTGCCGCCCGCCGCCACCGCCGCCGCCACCGCCGGGGCTCACCCCAGCGGCGGGC